TAATGTTTAGTTTTAATTGAAGCTGTTGTAGAGAGGTGTTATTTAAATTTCTGATTATTCGGAAGGTGTAGTTTAGTGGTGCTGGTAAATAAGTTGGTCAAATAATAAACACATGTTGATCTAACACAATGCAGCTTTCAAATTGAGCAAACAGTTGATGTTGCCTATAAACTGCCGTGTATATATTCATGGTCCATTAGTGGTCGGAGCTGTGGATTGAAACGTGCATATAATTGTAGTACTTCCTTGTAGCTTGTGTTTACCTGCAAGCTTTTGTTTTTGTGGTTTTGTGTAGGAGCCTGTGGAAAACACAGACGATGCTTCTCAGTGTGACGACGATGAAGCTTCTGACAGTAAACCTTTCTGCAGTGAAAACACAGGTAGGAATCTGTGCACATTGTTCCATTTTAAAATATATGTTTTTCTTCTTCATATGAATATGGAGCTTTTTTGTTTGCATGTCCTGTGTCAGGTGGTTTCTCACTGACATATTCCACTGATGTTTCAGATTCTGTCTTATTTGGATCCGGCCAGATTCAACAAAAAGTTCCGAACAGAGATTTAAACAAGGAAAGGTAAATTAAAACAGTTTCAACGTATTTTAATTTATGACGTCAGGTTTCATATTTTGCTCAGTCTGTTATTTTATTTGTGTGTTTTGTTTTTTTTTTTTTAGAGCTGCGCTTCTACAGATGAAAGGAAAATACCTTGTGAATGAAAACTGCCTCCTCGAGTTGTTTGCCCGCAAATGCCCCTCATGTGGGAGTAAGCTTCAGATGGAGAAGCTCACTTACGGCTTACTGATCGTTTTGAACCAGCGCTGTCTCAAGTGTGAATACAGAAACCAGTGGAAAAGTCAAGTCAACGCCGACGTCCCAGCAGCTGAAGACAGAAACCTGACAGGAGGCGCGGAAGTAAAATCAGAGGTGAAACATCACGAGTCAGACTTAATGCACTGTCAAGGAAAAGTTAAATCCAGATTTTAACTTTGATTTGGGGCAAAATCATGATGAGATATTTCATTTCCCAGCATGCAGGAGGTTTTGTGAGTCAACAAGTTGGTTATTTAGTTTTGTTTTTTAGCCTTTATTTGATTTCTCTTCTGCAAATTGGCGCAATTAAAAGTTTACCAGCTCTTGTTTATACTAAACTAAGACTGAGTGACATTAAAGGTCCCATATTGTGGTCAAATTCATGCAAGTCTCCCATTGCCCCACTGTGTGTCTTTCAATTGTTCAGCTCAGAGCATCTTTATTTAATTCCTCTTTAACATATTTTGCTCGTGCATTTGTCAGAGGCAGTTTTCCAAAGTTGTGATTCAGAGAAAGATAAATTTCTTCAACATCAAAGCTTCTGCCCTTCAACAGTAAACTATTTTGTCATTTGCTTGCACCTCCTTTTTAGCAAACTGACTGTAATATTCTGTGCTGCCCAAATTTGCAAAAGACTCACACGAGGTTGTCATTTTTAAACTGTGTCGTTCACAGGAGGTGACAACAGATGAAGATCCCGGTAGTGCGGTTTTGTCAGAGATCATTACTTTCAGCGACGATGAAAGCGATCCCTCAGACGACGACGGGGAAGACGACGACGGCGAGGAGAGTTCGGACGGGGAGTGGAATCCGACGGAGGATTTCGCGCTGGACGAGGAGCTCATGAAGGACTCCGAGGACGAAACCGAAGACGAAGGCGAGGACGAAAGTTTTGATTCCGTCGGTGGCCTCAAAATGAACGAGCTCTGCGCAGAGTGTGGAAGTTTTTTCAATATTCTGAAGCCACACACCTGCGAGCACAAAGTAAAGCCCTACTCCTGCAACATCTGCGGCAAGAGGTGCGTCACTGAGATCGCGCTGAATTCTCACAGCAGAATCCACGATGAAAACTACGAGCATCGGTGCAAATACTGCCACGTCACGTTCAAAACCAAGGTGGACAAAATGACTCACGAGCAGACCCACCTCACTGAAGGGAAGCCCTATAAATGTCCAGACTGCTCAGAGACATTCGCCTCCAACAAAGAGCGCAGAGTCCATCTGGTAGATCACAGAGGCCCCAGGCAGTTAAAATGTCACATCTGTGGGATTGAATTCAACCGGCGTACTCCTCTCCGGAGACACTTGGCCGTGCACACCGGAGCGAAGCCGTACAAGTGCTCGGTGTGCCAACGAGGCTTCAACCAGTCGAGCCACCTGAAGTCCCACATGCGCCTGCACACGGGGGAGAGGCCTTACAAGTGTCAGCACTGCGATAAATGCTTCAACCACAACGTGAGCTTGAAGAGTCACATCCAGCGGTACCACACGTCGAGCTCCGGACGCGAGCAGAAAAAATGCAAAAGAAATAAAACCCCAAGTGTTGACGCCCAGGAGAACGGAAACAAAAGAGGCTCTGGACTTCACATCATAGAGGAAGAGGAGGCGCACGAGGAGAGGATACATAAACCGAAAAAGAGGAGCACCGGCAGACCCATAGGACGGCCTAAGAGAAGCACAGCAGAGAGCTCGGTTCAGGGAGGAGGTTCATCCACTAAGACCTCGAAAGTGAAAGCGAGGAAGAGGGCACGCTGCAGTGATGAAGACAGCGAAGATGATCCGACCGAGAGCGACGTAACCTTTGACTCAACGGAGGATGAGGAGGAGTGGAGCGAGAAAGTCAGCGCACGGAAATCAAAAGGAAGACAAAAAAACTCCGACTGTGACTCGGGGAAGCGTCGAGGAAGACCGAGAAGGAGTCAGGCGGTGGAAGACTCTTGAAATGAGACTGAGATAAAACAGTGTTGAAGTTTTTTTGTTTTTTTTTAGAGACCTGATACATAAAATATTAAACATCTGGAGCTAAACATGACTTCTTTAAACTGGAGTCACTTCAGATTCGTTGTGTTTTACTGTCAAGACGCTGTTTCACCTGTGAACTGGATTCTTTGCATTTCAAATTTCCAATTGCAAGAGTTACTGGCCCTAACAGAGCCACATGTCTTAGTGCCATCAGTCGACTTGTACTACAGCCTGATGGTTTGTACAGTTCTCAGAATGGTTTGGAGTGTGTTTTACCAACTTTAAGAGCTTTAAAAGCACTCGTATAGTTGGGTGAGCAGTACAGCACTTTGAAGGGGAGAAAAAGCTTTCCCCTGTTGTTGTCTATAATGTAATGTAATATTTAAATTTTACTCAATTAATTGTCAAATAAATAAGATTTTAAGACAAACCTGTGTGACGTCAGAGTGGTAAAATCATGTGTTACTGAAACAGAAGCAACTACTTTGTTTATTTTCTGTTTGGTACTTTTACTGATGTCACAAGTCAAAGTGTTGTGTGTGGAAAAAAGGCCTGTTGTCCAGATGTTTGACTTCCAAATGAAACTTTGACATAACGCCATGTTGACTTAAAACAGCTTCACCATACAGATAGTTTGGGTTTTTTTTGTTCGTCCACATTTACCAACACCTGACTCAACCTCAGTACAGTGACTGAAAAGAGATTTTATTTATGTTTTTCTAGTGAAATTGATTCCAGACATATAAGATGCAATGTTGGAAATTAAAGTGAAGGAAAAAACCCAACATGGTGACCTCCTAAACATTTTTCTTGCTGCAATCATTTATTTATTTTTTCAATGGAATTAATAAGGAATGAAATGCACAGTACTCTTCTTGTGCAGAACTATTCAAAAGTTTATCTGATGCTTGCAAGTTAGACAAATCAAGATTTATGAAACTGAGATGAGTTAAGTACTGATGATGGACTCAGCAGCTCTCCAGACTCCATGCGTTGATGTGATAATCCAACTCCTTCTTACAAACAAGGCGTGTCACTCTTACCTTTATCATCGGTGCCGTCAGGACGTTTTTGAAATGTAAATTTCCCATCCATTGGAGCGACAACTCTCACATGCTCCTCCATTTCCACGTCTCCTCTCCGCTACTCACCTTGTCCTCCCAACTACAATGGGAGCCTATCAGCTTATGCTAAAGAAGCCCAGACACAACGACAGCCCATCGGTGTCCACTTCAGGGTGTGTCTGACTATTGTTTTCCACCACAGTCTGAAATGCTGAACACTACTTTCAAAGTGCAGAGAGACAACATCTGGAATGCATTTCCGAAGTTTGTTTTTTATGTTGTTGGTGGAATTCATTTTTTTAAAAATTGAAATGTAATTACAAAACAGAAAAACTACCGGTTAAATTGTTTGTGTAAAACTTTCATGAACAAGCATTACTTGCCTGGAAATTGATTGATAGCTTTTCACCCACTAATCTCTCCATTTGGAACATTGAAAATATTCTAAAATAATTGTTTATTTTACAGGAAGTGGTTTGCTCATGGGATTATACACTGCTCCAAAAAATAAAGGGAACACCTAAACAACACTTCTGTGAAATCAACCTGTCCAGTTAGGAAACACTAGGAGCACCAAATTAGCGAGCTTTAAGAGCCAAAAAATCACACAAGAGTTTCTGAAAACTGTGACCTGACAATGTATGAGGCCTGACTTGACTCCAAAAAAAGAAGGAAGAGAAAGGAGGAGCAACGCGACTCCTTCAACAAAGACCAGCTGGAAATAAAGTCTGAAGAATGGCAGAATGGTAATGTAATGAACTGAAAGTAAAACCGGGATACGCCTGACACCAAACCAGGCCAACCCTACCACGAAGCCCCGCCCATTCCGTTACTAGCACAGCGGCTAGCCAGTTGTTAGCATGTGGTGGTTGTTGTTGGTGGAGAGCAGCCTCTCAGCAGGCACCAANGGAGCTAAACATGACTTCTTTAAACTGGAGTCATTTCAGATTCGTTGTGTTTTACTGTCAAGACACTGTTTCACCTGTGAACTGGATTCTTTGCATTTCAAATTTCCAATTGCAAGAGTTACTGGCTCGAACAGAGCCACATGTCTTAGTGCCATCAGTCGACTTGTACGACAGCCTGACGTCCCTAGGGATGGTTTGTACAGTTGTCAGAATGGTTTGGAGCGTGTTTTCCCAACTTTAAGGCATCAGAGCTTTAAAAACGCTCGTATAGTTGGGTGAGCAGTACAGCACTTTGAGGGGGCACTTTGTTGTTTATAATGTAATGTAATATTTAAAATTTACCCAATTAATTGTCAAATAAATAAGATTTTAAGACAAACCTGTATGACGTCAGAGTGGTAAAATCATGTGTTACTAGTAATGTCGGCATCGAGACCCTGAAACAGAAGCAACTACTTTGTTTATTTTCTGTTTGGTACTTTTACTGATGTGACAAGTCAAAGTGTTGTGGGTGGAAAAAGGCCTGTTGTCCAGATGTTTGACTTCCAAATTAAACTTTGACATAACGCCATGTTGACTTAAAACAGCTTCACCACACAGATAGTTTGGTTTTTTTTTGTTCGTCCATATTTATGAACACCTGACTCAACCTCACTATAGTGACTGAAATTCCAGACATATAAGATGCAATGTTGGAAATTAAAGTGAAAGAACAAAAACCCAACATGGTGACCTCCTAAACATTTTTCTTGCTGTAATCATTTTTTTTTTTTTTTCAATGGGATTAATAAGGAATGAAATGCACAGTCCTCTTCTTGTGCGGAACGATATTCAAAAGTTCATCTGATGCTTGCAAGTTAGACAAATCAAGATTTAAGAAATTGAGATGAGTTAGGTACTGATGATGGACTCAGCAGCTCTCCAGACTCCATGCGTTGATGTGATAAGCCAACTCCTTCTTACAAACAAGGCGTGTCACTCTTACCTTTATTAGCGGTGCTGTCGGGATGTTTTTGAAATGTAAATTTCCCGTCCATTGGAGCGACAACTCTCACATGCTCCTCCATTTCCACGTCTCCTCTCCGCTACTCACCTTGTCCTCCCAACTACAATGGGAGCCTAATCAGTTTATGCTAAACAAGCCCAGACACAACGACAGCCCATCGGTGTCCACTTCAGGGTATGACTGACTATTGTTTTCCACCACAGTCTGAAATGCTGAACACTACTTTCAAAGTGCAGAGAGACAACATCTGGAATGCATTTCCAAAGTTTGTTTTTTATGTTGTTGGTGGAATTCATTTTTTTAAAAATTGAAATGTAATTACAAAACAGAAAAACTACCGGTTAAATTGTCTGTGTAAAACTTTCATGAACAAGCATTACTTGCCTGGAAATTGATTGATAGCTTTTCACCCACTAATCTCTCCATTTGGAACATTGAAAATATTCTCTATAAAAAATAATTCTTTATTTTACAGGAAGTGGTTTGCTCATGGGATTATACACTGCTCAAAAAAAATAAAAGGAACACCTAAACAACACTTCTGTGAAATCAACCTGTCCAGTTAGGAAACACTAGGAGCACCAAATTAGCGAGCTTTAAGAGCCAACAAATCACACAAGAGTTTCTGAAAACTGTGACCTGACAATGTATGAGGCCTGACTTAACTCCAAAAAAAGAAGGAAGAGAAAGGAGGAGCATTACAACTCCTTCAACAAACACCAGCTGAAAATCAAGTCTGAATAATGGCAAAATGGTCATGTAATGAACTGAAAGTAAAACCGGGATACGCCTGACACCAAACCAGGCCAACCCTACCACGAAGCCCCGCCCATTCCGTTACTAGCACAGCGGCTAGCCAGTTGTTAGCATGTGGTGGTTGTTGTTGGTGGAGAGCAGCCTGTCAGCAGGCACCAACTTTAACATTTAACCAAAAACTCTAAACTTAAACCCGGAAATGTGCTCTGTAGACGGTTGCAATTCGTTTCGTCGCAATGCGAAGCGGTTCAAGTTACCGAAGGACCCGGAGGAGAGACTGGAGTGGATCCAGTTTGTTCTGGACGTGAACGGACAGCGGCTGAAGGAATCCACCTGGACGGATATCACCATCTGCAGCGAACACTTTACCAACGACTGCTTCGTGAACAAGAGTCCGACCGGACGGCTGAAGCCCGGTTCTGTCCCGTCACTGAGTGTCAAGTCGGAGCCGGAGGAAGTTCTGGAGAACCTCCAACATGTGGTGAGTGTGTTGTAACATCTGGAAGCCTCCGACCTGTTCAGACTGGGTTCGATCCCAACAGAACACAGTCTGAAGTGAATAAAGTTGTTTCTGTGGTCATTAATTATGTGTTAGAGCTAAAGCACCATGCATCTGTGTTTCATCTAAGTGCAGCATGCAGAGCCACGAGTTTTTCTATTGTTAATTATTTTTTTAAACTAGTTAATTACTTTTTTTAAAACATTTTTTGCACTATGTAATGTTTATCAGTGTTTCCTTAAAAAATCCTGCTTTGTCCACAACCCACAGAGTTTACTGTCATGGAGGAGCAAAGAAAGGAGAAATTATTCATATTTAACTAACTGGAATTTGACTTTTTTTCTCTCAAGACATTACTCAAACCTGTTCATCCATTATGCCCGTAGTCTATTTGAGCCAAAATAAAATAATTTCAGTTAATTTTCTTCCATGCAATTGAGTAACACGTAGTAAAAAATAACATAAACGTCATCTATCAAGACAATACTTCAAGATAATTGTGCAAATTGTAACAGTGTGATGTAAAATCATGAAGTGAAC